AAACTTCTTATAAATGTAATGAAATCCACTATCTCCCATTTTGAAACTGTTGAGATGCAGGGGATACCAAAGATTAAGATAACCCAATGGTTGATTAGTATCCCAGAGTTCCCATCCAGTTAGAGAATAAGAATTAGTAAAGATCTCATTAACAATTAGGCAAAGTTTAAAATAACAAATTAAACTAAGGAAATGGAAGTGAAAGCTAAAAATAAAATTACATTTCAATAATAAATTCCAAAAGTTTGGTAAAACTATGCCAAACTTTATGATCAATTGCTCTATCTTCAAAAAAATCTCTGTTTTGTTGCTATCCACGGGTTTATCCTTCTTCATATTAGTGAGATAAAAAGGAAGAAGAACCTTTCAAACCATTCTTCTCTTTGTGTTCAACCATCTTCCTTCTAGGTAGTTCTTTCAATGGTCCCAATGCTTGAAGTTCTTTGAATAAGACATGCTTTGAACCGGAGGAAACATTTTTCTTAAAAAAGTTTTTATCTTTTTTAAGAATAGTTTTTTTTTTAAATTCAAACTAATAGCTGATGGAGGAGAAGAATTATCATGGATTGTAGTATTACCATTTGCATTATCATCAGCCGCCAAATTTGTTGATGATTCTGTTATGTGAGTCCCCAAAACTTCAGCATTATTAAAATGAGTAGCAGCCGTCAAAGCTGTTAAGGGAGAAATTTCAGCTCCTTGAGTAGTCAAAACCGTTTCAGCCTCCTTTTCCTCCTCCAAAGTTTGTGGAATTTTGAATTTGATTGCTGAGAGTGTTGGAGAGAAAGCCGGAGCTAGAGTCTCAACCACCTTTGGATCAATCAAAGTATCATTTGTAATTTGAACAGCATTTGAGGACATCGAAATTCCTAGTTGATACAGACTTTTTGAACTTTCAAAATAAGAAAATTGAAAGTCCAGATTTTCAGAAACTACATTTTCTATTTTATTGTTTTCATTTAACACATCAGCCATCACCTTATCCACATCAGCTAATGCATTAAATGAATTAGATATACCAACTGAATTCCGAGAAGCTTGCTGGTCCAATTTGAAATTCAAATCCTGGTTAACCACCCCTTCATCTCCTTCCTTGAATTCAGCCTTTTCTTCAAGTTGGCTTTTGGAACTTGCAACTACCATTGGATCGGACATAGAATTGAGCTTGTTTCCATCTGCCATTGTTTGTACTTCAGCCGTTCCTGATTTTTCTACTGCTGAAAAAACCTTGGCTTTCAATAGATTACTTGCTGATTTCTTCTTATTTTGAACTTAACTTGCATCCAAGGACCATAAGGATTTTCAGTATGATTTGAGATGAAAGGGATATCTTCAACATTGGGACAAACTGATTCAATATGCCCTATCCTCCCACATTTGAAACAAAGTGATGAAAGATTTTCGTATTCGAAATTTTGAAAAAATCTTCCATGCAACCCTTCAACCCATATTCCAGTGGGGAGTTTTGAGTTCAAATTAACTCGAATACATGCTCTAACAAATTCTCTCCTTCCCCACCTAAACATATTACCATCTGAAAGTAATGGAGTCCCAATTCTAGACACAATTCTAGTGATATTGGACTCATCCCAATAGATTAGTGGAAGGTGAGGAAGACGAACCCAGATTGGAGCTGAAACACCTTCTAATGAATTAGGAGAGAAGTTAGGAGAGCATTTGTCTAACCCAACTGCAAAACCCCCTACAAACCATGGACCTCCGTTAAGAACTGCTTCCATGCCTTCATGAGATTGAAATGAACAAAGAAGCCTATCTAAGCCAAGAATGGTTAGATGGAATCCTCCAAATTTCTTCCAAACTCAATGGCACATTTTGATAAAGATAAATTTTTCCCAAGAATTTTAACCACCAAAGATTTACTCAAAACTTGAATATTGGATATTTCATTATCCTTATCCAGTTTGACAATGATTAAATCTTCATCCTCCTCAAGATTTTTATCCCAATTAATTTTAATGTGTGGTTTTTTAGTCCACACATTAGAATTATGAACATTTGAAAACTTAATAGGATTATTGAAATTATCCTTGTTAGTCTTCAAAATATCAACAAAACTTCTCCTTGAAGAAGAAGCTTCTTTGTCATTAGCTCCAACAATAGAAACCGGTGAGGGAGATTTAGGTAGATTGTTAGGAATCACAATTACCTCTTTCCCTTTACTAGATTCCGTCAATGTCTTTTGTTTAGCCAAAAGACCTCCCTCTTTGATAACAAGAGGAGTTTCTAAAACTCGAAGATTGTGCGGGGAGATGCATTTGAAGGAGAACCTACCTTTTGAATCCAACATAATTGGACTCGCGGTAGTTCTTCCATCTCCAATCTTTTTACCCAAAATCTTCAAACCCTCTTTCCAAAATCCTTGATTCATGGAGCATCTCTCTCTTCCCTTGGCCGCCTTCAAGTATCTTTGGTAATTACTTTCCAAAAAATAGCCCTTGCATCTCCTTTAAACCTTAATAGCTTGGATAGATGCAAATTTTCCTTTCTAAAGAGTTTTAGCCAAAAATTTTTGAGTTTCCAGGATCTTATGATGCCTCTCTCCTCAAAGTATCAAGTGTTGAGTGAGATAAACTATCCTTTTGTTCCTTTGTGTAAAACCCGAAAAATGTCATTTTAAACATCGCACGCTTTTCGATGTGCCGCAAATTTAAGTGAATTTTTTCAAAGTCGTCGGAATTTGATGAAAATAATTTTATAAAATCGTACGCAAAATTTCGAACAAAATGATATACAGGACTTACAGTGAATTTTGCTTATTTTGTAAGTTAAAAATTATAGAAGTTTGAGTATACCTAAAATACCCTTTTTGAAATTAAAACAAAATATTGCATGCAAGGGGTAATTAAGATTTTGCACCTAAACTTTCCTCCCACTCTTATTAGGGGACCGAATGCCCATTATTTCGTGCAGCCGAACCGATCGGAAGAAAGGGAGTAGGGGCGGACGGGCAAGGCGACGCAAGGCTTGGGTGAGCGGCTCCGACAATGTTTCCGGCGGTCGGGCTTAGGGGAAATTGAAGAGGGAGATTCAAGGAGGCTAGGGTGAGTTTCTAATCAAGTTATTTCTTACGTTTCATGACTTATTCTTGGAAAGAAAAAGTTATGGCTTGACAAAAACTTCTCTTTTCTTTAGGAAATATATAAGGGTTAGGAGATAGAGATAAATTTATGCAAGAAAATGAGGTTTTTCTTCAAAATTTTGGAGTTGAAAAAATTAGGGTTTTTCCCTAAAGTTTGAAATTTTGAAAGTGATTTTACAAGCATAGTTCCTAAGAGTCCTAAGAGGGTTTCTAAGGGAAGAAATTGAGTTTTTCTTATAAAATAATATTTTCCTAATTTTAAAAATTAATAAATCCGAAAATTAGTTTTCCATAAATATTATTTTGATGAATGAGAAGTTTTAGCATGCAAAAATAAGGATATTAATGAAAATGGGTTTCCCAAATTTAGGGTTTTTAGGTTAAATCCGAAAATAAAAATTATTTTGAATTATTTTAGGTAATGGTAAAGGGATTATTTGGATAGAATTATCAATTTAGACCAAAAGTATGAATTTTTATAATATATACATGCTTTATGTGTTCAATTAGAGAGAGAGAGGGAGAGAGAGAACTTAAAGTGGTTTAAAAAGAGAAAGAAGAATTTTAATTTAGATTTATTTTGTAGATTTTTTTAGAAGAAATTATTTTTCTTATAGGTGTTTATTTGTTGTGACCTCGAAGGAAGTAGAACTAGTGTGAAAATCAAATCCCTCGAATCTGTGAGTACTCATGGTTCTTTATTACAGTGATACCTTTGTTTCTCTCTAGTTATATGTTTTGAAAATCCAAGCATGTTTATGAAATTTTTATGATTAGTTTAGATCATGATTATATTATTCTTATCCTATGATTGATCAGGTGATTTATATGTTATATTTCACGGCATTATATCATAAAGTTCATATGTTATAGAAATGAAATTATATGATTGTTATAGAATACTTGCATGTGCTTGTTGAATTGATGGAGCTCACCCCCTTATGGTACTAGCTGGGGACGATATACTCGTGCACATTAAAATGGTAAAGGTTATGAAAAAGAAAATGGTAAAGAAGTACATTTATGGTACTAGACGGTGGCTCCTGTGACGGTTGTAATATATACGAAATGAGAAAGTTATCAATACTGATATGATGAATGAAAAATGAATATGAAAGGATATGGATTTATGATTTATGTGTATGTTTAATGTTATATTTATAGGAAGTAAAATTTATGCTATGTTTTAATGAAATATAACATCTAGCATATTACTCATTCTGCCTTGAATTACTGTAGTTTAGATTCATGTTTTACTTACTAAGCATTGGCTTATTGTTAATTGTTCAAATTTTTTAGGTATAATTATTTTAAATCTTAATGAGTAGAAGGGGTGGAAACGTGTATCATAGGAGAGGCACGCTTAAAGAAAGGTAATTATATGAATCTTAATGATTTTATATATATGTGTGTTTTTAAATTTAATATTTTTAGTTGCTCTTTCAAATGTTATAGTGATATATTTAGATATTGGATAGTTTAGTCTACCGTCTGACCTCCATTCCCGCCTCGCCTATGCGAGCTTATCAGGCCAGGTCGTGACACTTTGTAATTGTTCAAGTGATAGAGGGTTGTCTGAGACAAGCAAACCCACTGTTTCGTGGTAACTCCCTTGTTTTTCAGGTCTTCTTTCAATAGCAGAACACCCTTCACCTTTCATTTCAAATTCATCGCATAACTCTATCAATACTCATTGCATAACTCTATCAATAATGAGCTTAAAAATTTACTTCTCCATAATAACACTAGGTTAAGATCTTCCCTTGAAACCTATTACCATAGAGATTTTGCTAGCCGGAGAATTTATTTGATTTGCATCAATGTATTAAACCAATAACACTTGGAATTAAATAGAACACAACAGGCTTATTAAAGGCAATGCAGCAGTTGAAATCCATACCTAAGTTGAAAGTCATGCTCTTCTCCCCACTTCCTGTTGCCAGTTTTTGCATATTGATCAGACATGCCACCAAGGTTTATCTTTATGTGATCTATGCCAACAACATTGGGATGCAGCAACTTCAATATCTCATTACGCAAGAAACTCAATTCAGGGTCCGGTATAGAGGGTATGTCTTCTGAGGTTGTGATGCAATTATATTCAAGATCAACCACAACAACCTACAAACTTTAAAGTTTTAATGGTAAAATTTATAGGAAGCAAATGAAAATTGCCAGAAAGATTATACATAATTAGGTGACAAGAAAAGAGGAAATTTATTTAAAAGTGCTTACATGATCAATTTTAAGGGTTCGTTTGGGACGGCTTTTTTATTGCTTTTTAAAACGGAGTTTTAGTACAAATTTTTTTATTTATGTACTAAAACTCCGTTTTAGAAAGCAATAAAAAAGTTGTTCCAAACGAAGCCTAAGTTTATTCAAAAGGCTAATAAATTGCACATAATCAAAGCAAACAAATTACAATGTGCATTTAAAAAATATCATATACCACTCTGTCATTAATAAAAAAGATCCACTCTGCCTTTAGCTCTCCTCGCATTGGCATCGTTATCTGAGTAGTTCCCAATACTCAATTCTCTAACCTTTCACTCTTATACACTAGTTTCCCTATCTTTTCTATTCCCCTCACTTTGCATTCCTCTCAGCTCCAAATTTTGTAATTTTCATTGTATTTTAGGGGGAAATGTATATAATGGGTTATGATTGTTGGGCAATGTTAAAGCACTGATGGAGATGGAGAAAATGAATGAGTGGAGGATGAAGAAAAAGCTCCGCATACACAATTTGGAGCCATCTGTGTACACAATTGGGATCAAGGGAACACTTAAATATACCTCAAAATAATTTCATTCAATCACTCATCCATAATCAATCGTCCAAATAGAAGCTATCAATCCTTATAAAAATAAGGCTACAAATATAAAGCCAAAGACTTTAAAATTAAATTTAATCCCATCAAAAAATAAATTCAATCATACTATTATCCAAAGGGTAAATCTTGACTAATACTAATATTTTGTGTTAAAAAACCTAATAAACATATTTAAGAAAATATGAAGAAATTCAGCCAAAATTAAATATGGACTAAAAAGGGTTTGAAATTAGTCCGATTTATCTCCTTTGTCGACTAGCAGATTTGTACTGCAGAAAGCACCTTCAGACCCCAACATTTTGGAAAATCATATATACATCATACGTGATACAATTTAACAAATATAACACATTACAATTTAACAAATATAACACATTACACAACGATGATAATGTCAACAACAGCTCTATCCAAAAGGAGTATGGTTAATATTAGTCATGACCTCAAACACAGCATCATTTTCTTTCATTATCTCTTTCCTTTGTTCCCTGTTTCCCCTACTGCTACAAGCTGGATCCCAAAATTGCTGGCATTTTGGAATTGCAGGTAATTTACTGATCGTCTTTCAAACATGTTGAACCTCAATATCCTTTTTATCGTGAGCGGTGAGCCTTTAAATGTTATTTAAGAAATGAGTAGCTAAATACTCTTACAAGACTGAAAATGGAGGACTGCGTTCCAGAAAAAAAAAAGGATAGAATTGTCTTAAATTCCAGCAAAGCCTACTAGAATAAGCTGGTCTACCTAGAGATCAAATGATGCAATAGAAGAATTTCTACTAGAGTAAGCTGGTCTATCTTGAGATCAAATGATGCAATAAAGCATTTAAGGCATTCTAGAATAATGCATCTTTCAATCTATAATTTGCTGTTTCAATGTATGCTCCAACATGGCTGTAGCTAAATTATATTAGAGCATAAATAAAATCCTGGTTAGTTGGATACTTAAATCCAAAAGTCATCAAACAATGTGCATCAAGAATCAATATTTTCACTACAAGTATAGCTGACCTCTAGATCTCTAGCAATCAAAATAGCACGACATAATTACCTAGCGAATACAAATATTTAGTTTAAAGGTAAGCTTCTTCATCTTCAGCATTGGTATGGTTGGCCTCACAAATACTAAACAAGTTAATGAAAAGTGCTGAAAGATGCATTTAATTTAAATTAGAGGTTGATGATCAAATACTGCATGTTTCAGCCCTAATGAACCACATCTATATTGTGAAACTTAAATTTGCATCCCATCACCATAAAAATTTTTAATACCCTCTTTGTTTTATATATCATACATAAAATAAAACTCCATTTGATAGTAACTTTCTTCACATAATTTTTTTTTTCAAATACAACAGTTACTGTTAAAATCTCAGCCGTCCCTTGGCACTTGGTCCCACGGTCAGGATGGGAATCCGTGGGAGGCTCACCTGGATCACGTCAATCTCCTTCTATATTTTGGTAACTGATTTAGGTAAGATTATATTGAGACAATTATGCATGATTCTATAGTTATTGCTTCTTTATTAAGACATCTTGTATAGGAGTCTATTCAGGTGGAGTCGGATGACTTGGAAAGGAGGAGATATGTGTGCCGAGTGCTGAGTCGCTAGAGACATATGTTTTTGCTCTTGTCCTAGAAGCTTGCCACATCTGCCATGCCTTCATTGCCAGTATTCCCTTGAGAATCAAGAGAGGTGGACCCGAAGGATAATGAATCCATTTTTTCTATTGTCCCACCACTGGCCTTTACTGTAATTTCCGATATCTTGATGGCTACTATTCAACATAGCCTTCATTGCTACCCCACACCTTGCAGGCTTGACTGATATAGCCTTCATTGTTATCATTTGCCGTTGTTACAATGTCTGAAGTCAATTCCTCCCAAAGTTTTGACCAAACAGAGGCTATGGTGCACCAAGGGACTTGTTAGGTCTACCTCTTTGCGACTAATTATCAAGCTGGGAATGACAAATATATATTCTCTAGCTTGAGGGAGTGTTAAAATCTCAATCATTCCTTGGCACTTGATCCCACGGTCAGGATGGGAATTCTTGGGAAGCTCACCTGGATCACGCCAATCTTCTTCTATATTTGGGTGGTTGATTTAGGAAGGATTATATTGAGACAATAATACATGATTTTGTAGTTATTGTTTCTTTATTAAACCATCTTGTATAGATATATACAGCAACAACAACAACATCAAGCCTTTGTCCCACTACATGGGGTCGGCTACATGAATCCTTTTTCGCCATTCTGTCCGATTAAAAGTCAAAGTCTCATTTGAATCTAATAAAGAAAGATCATTTCAAATATTTTCTAACCAAGTCTTTTTAGGTCTATCTCTACCTTTCTTAACATAAGTCAAATCTTTATACCTCAACTTTCCTAACCGGGTCATCGGAAGGCCTCTGTTTAATGTGACCTAACCATCTAAGGCGACTCTCTCTAATTTTATCTTCCACTGGAGCTACTCCAACCTTTTTACATATATACTCATTTCGTATCATATCTCTAAGGGTCAAGCCACTCATCCACCTAAGCATCCTCATCTCTGCAACACTTAACTTAGTATTATGCTTCTCTTTTCAAGTATAGATCTATAAATATGGATAATTTTGTATAATAAAAAAGGGCATTTTTTCCCTGTCAAATTATATGAATTATAACGGTTACAAATAACATAAAAAGAATATTCATAACCGAACTAAATATCAATCAGATAAAACAATTTTCAAAATGAAGCATAAAGGAAACTATCTAGTCATTAAAAACAAACAGATGAATCATGATAGAATCACAACTATGGTAAAACATAAAAACATCACAGGTAACAGGAATGAAAACAGAAACCATGAGATATTTAAAAAAAAAAAAGTTATATTACAAAAAAATAATATATCAACTTACACCATCCAATGTTAACCCGGATGTGTCAACGCCTGAATGAAGTCCCATCATGTATGGTGTAGGGGCATCAATATAGTCTGCCCCACTGAAAAACAGTAATGGTATGTACACATGCTACATTAACAGAAACAAAACAAAAACAAAAATTAGAAAGAGGTTCTAAGAAAACAGCTTTAGCACAATATAGCACGAGTCAAGTGCCTATCACTCTCTCCTCATTGTGCTTTCCAGCAAAACAAATGAGGACTTGAGGAAAGCATCACAAAAACGTCAGAATATACAAGAACAGTTAAACATTGAGTAACTGGAGTTTGGGAGCTTACTTGCCACCTAAAGGGATAAATTAAATGGCAGATTGCCTCCGATACCAGAGTAAGAAGCGCATACCTGAAAAAAAAGAATTAAAAATGTAAGCCTTCATACATTAATAGAATTGATAAATTTTGACAGAAAGAATCGTAGATAGGACCAACTAATTGCTCCAATTTTCCATAAGTTCTTCAATATTTGACAGAGAGATTCCTTTTAGGTGGGAGCATTTATTAACATATGCTCAACTCTCTAAGTAACTTGACCTAAATTTAAACATAAGATAGAGACAGCAATAAAAGAAACGAATGTTATTAAACATCCCAGAGGGAATAGTAAAATATGTTCCCTTTTTTTTTTAATAATAAAAGTAATACAAATTAGAACCAGCTAATAATCAATTCCAATATAAAGAGAAAGTACGACGGAAGGGAAAGCTGGGCTATAAAGAGAAAATGAGTGAGATGAAGAGCGATAGGTGGCAATGAGAGGAAGAGAGAGAGAGAGAGAGAGAGAGAGAGAGAGAGAGACCAATGCTTGCAAGACAAATTAGGAGAAAGAGAGAGCGAGAGACAAAGCAGAAGAATGTGGATAGAGTGATATCAAGAAATTAAGAAGGGGAGAGGGAGCGAAAAAACATTGAAAAAAACATTGAAAGGAGAATGAAAAAGAAAAAAGAGCATATATGCATAGGTCAAAGCACGCAAGCTGCACATGTAGTAGCCAAATGTTATTACGTGCATCAGTCAACATTAATAAGTCATGAGAGGATAAGTATGGTGATGTAGACAAAGGGGGGTCAACACTAGTCCAAAATTGATGCAATCAAAAATTTGGGAGAGGGACCCAAATTTTTTTTCACAAAAATATTACCTTTCTAAGAACAAAATAAAGACATAAAATGCTTAAAAGAACACAAATATTATAAAACACAACTTTATATAATAAAAACGACTTACAAACTTTTGACTCAAATGACACTTACAAATTGGACGCTTACAAACTTTGACACCAACAAAATGACACCCTAAACTTGCTTACTTTGAGAAGAGGGATACAGGTGAGGTGGCACTTGTGGATAGAAGAAAGAGATTAGGAGACGAGACGAAGGTTGGAAAGAGCCTGCAGGATTCCCATAAGAGGAGGGGAAGAAGATTGAAAAGAGCCCGCAGGATTTCCAAAACAAAAACCTCTCAGGTTTCTCTCCAAAAATAACTCACATCATTCTCTCTTAAAAACAACCACAAACATCAATATTTATAGGCACAAAAAGGGCAGCCAAACAGCCCAAATGTTAGGGAATATGGAAGGTTAAAAGACACCTAGAAGAAGGCTAAAAGACACAAAAAACTGCAGTAGAAAAACTGCATAGAAAACAGTAAAAAGCTCTTGGAATTCCTCCCAAAACAGCCACCAAAAACTGATCCAATTCTGTCCAAAAACTGTCTAAAAACAGTCCCCCAAAAGACACTTCAATTCCCCAAGAAAAGCCAAAAGACTTCCCTGCTGAAATCCCAAGAGACACATCAAAATTTCAATGAATAAAGCCACGGAACCAGCCAGCACAAGCCACGGTTTCAGCACAGGAAACCAGGAGTCTTTTCACGGGAAAAGGGAGAAGAAGTTACGGCAGCAAAGAAGGCAGATTCACTGAACCAGCAGACTTTAGTTCATTTATTGAACTAAGGGTTAGCTCATTATGAGCTAACAATTTTAGTTCATATTTATCTTTATTTAAATGCACTTTTATTATAGTTTTTAATGTCTTAAAAGTTGTCTCTTGGATTTCCAAAATATGGCTTTTGGGAATCCAAGATTGTTGTTTAGTCTTCCCATGTGTGCTCCTTGAGTTCCACCATGGGAAGTTGAATTTTGTGTATGCCTCTTGGGATCTCACGGCTGGCTCCTTGTTCCGTGTCCGCCCCTCTTTTCCCGTGGTTGTGGCTCTCGGTCCGTGCGGTTCCCTTCGTCTCCCGTGGCTGTCTCCTTGGTTCCTGGTTTGGGTGTAAACCGAGAGCTTTGGGGGGAGATTTCTATGCTTTTTAATGCTTTGAATTATGTGTTAATTTAATGTTTGTGTCCTTTTGTATTCCCCTTTCATACCTATAAATATGAGGGGTTATGTAATGTTTTGAATAGTGAATGATATTTGATTTTTGGAAAATCTGTTAACCTGCGGGTTGCTCGGAAATCCTGCGGGCTCTTTCCAACCTTCTTTTCTCATCCCCTCCGGAAATCCTGCGGGCTCTTTCCACCCTTTCTTCTCGGGCTTCTAATCTCTTCGTCTCTCCGCAAGTGCCGCTCCACCTGTATCCTTCTTCTCAAAGTGCAGCAACTTTAGGGTGTCTGTCGTGTTGTTTGTAAGTTGTCGTCATAGTTTTTTTTACTTGTTTAGTTTAAATTGAAATGTAAGAGTTTGTTCTTCCCTATTTTGTTCGTCCCTCTTTTCTCGTCTTTTCTCAATTTCGTCGATAGAAGTCCTTCGCGTCTCTTTTGTGCGCGAAGGGTATAGGCTCCCTATATCTTTTGCCCGCATCATATGGCAAGAGAGCGACAACACAAAACCAATTTAGGACTTTCTCATTCTTTATTCTTCCAAACCAAAGGTAAAGTTTAACCTAAATTTTCCATTCCAAATCTGTAAACCCTAGGTTCATTCTTTCATTTGTAAATTAATTTTGTCAGGACTTTGGGTGTTAGGGAGAGTTATAACAGAAGGAAAATAAGAAAATATGAAAAAGGAAGAAGAGCATTTAAGGCATGCAGATTAACAAAAAAATCTGTCATTTTATTTGAATTAAAGATTTACAGGAAATCTAGAAATTTTAAATATTATTAAAAGATAAATATTGTTTAGTTTTAAAAAAGGATGATTGCTATTTATAAGTAAGAACTTATTAGATTTTAAAGATTTGAAATTATAAATAACTTAAACCTAATTTTTAAGTGAAGTTAGAATAAAACAATAAATTAAAATTAATAAGAAAATGTTAAATTTAAATTTTGCACAAGTATCATGTTTTTATAGAACAAAATTTAATTTTAAGTGCTATGGTTGTAATTTAAAAGAGCAAAATAAAAAAAATTATATCATGACAAAGGAATCAATGAAGTAGGAGTTTAATTAAAAAGCTATGTTAAATATAAAATTGGAGATGCCAATGAGTAATGATAGTTTATCTACTTAATTAAAAATAAAGATAAACTAAGTATGATTGATGTACCTGACTGATAAAAAAAATGTCATAAATATCTTATATGTAATTATGTATTATTATATGCATTATACTACAGGAGCTAGAGTATAACGATGAAAAGAAAACTAATTTTCTGAGGTTGAGGTGGTAATTATATTTCCATTTTCTAATAATGATTTATGTTCATCTAAATTTAATGAATTTCTTGTTATGCCCTCTTATATGTATTAGATAACGTTGAGATTGCTGGTGGAAATTGTCTAAAATAATTTTCATTGTTTCATGTACATGATCCTTAAATTGTTATGAATGTTACTTATTATTCATCCTATTCCAATCTCCAATGTTTATCTCATGAAATATTATGCAAGAGCACCACTTAGAGTAAATGTATAATCAAAAGAATGCAAATGATATAATATATATGAATGAATGTCCGCATATGTTGAAAGATAGAGTTAATCCCCTCATGGTATTGTAGTTCGGGACACCTGTACTCGCATGTTAAATGATAACATATTTGTAGGTTTGGAAAAGGATATTGATTTTGATGTGCCTAAAATAATACCATTAGATGGTGCTTCTATGTAAGCAGTATTATAAAATAAAATAAGATAAGAGGAGGCATACCTTTCTTCTTCATTTTGTTAATATACAAAAGAATATTTTCAAAATCCTTTTACATTGTCACCATTGAATAAAATGAAAATGTTCTACGATTTTATACTGATTCATCAATTAAAACAGGAAAACATATTATTTTCACAATTCCTTTATGTTACTGTAAGCTAAAACTATAATTTATCCAGTAAAAAATGTGATAACTCACTATTATTATTTAATGACTATTTATAGGACAAGAATTAAATAAGTCTGAGAATAGAGTTTGTGTATCATAAACATGGACCTATAAGTGAAAGGTATTTAAATATTATTAATGTTGTACAAACAAAGGTGTATTTGTTGATATTTTGGAATATAATAACTTTATGATTTAATGGTTATTATATTGGAAATTATTGGAATAAGAAATTTTATGAACAATTGTTTAGATATTATTGAATGTTAGTAGATATATTAAAAATAAATCCTCAATGGGATTGATATTAACAATTATCAACCAATACTTCTAGAAGAAAAGATGATACCTAGGTGTGATAAATTTAAATATCTTGTATAAAAGAATGAGATATAAATAAGGATATAACTTCTAGAGCTATGATTGAAAAATTAAAATGGAAAAGTGTTACGAGGATTTTATGTGATAAGAAATAACATGGACTTACAAGTAGATTTCACAAAACTGCACTTACATAGATTTGAATATTGAGCAATGAAAAAAAAAATTCTTGATATCTAAGTTGAGGGAAGCAAAATTGAGGATGTTAACATGTCTATGGTAAAATTAGAAAAGATAAATTAAGAAACAATTATGCTAAAGGTCTAATTGGAGCAATATTTGTTTAAGATAAGATAATTGAAATAAACTTAGGTAATTTGGACATGACAAAGTAGAAAATAAACCTATTAAAAGAGTGATGAAAATAGTGTTAAAAGATTAGAGAAGTAAAAGAGGGAGGACAATGATGCGCTAATATGGACATTGATGTAGACAAAGGGAGGGGTCAACACAAGTTGAGTTTTTCTTTTAATTTCTTGCCTTGTGTCTTTTCATCTTCCCCCTCTCTTTTGGGTTGTTTTCTAGTTCTATGAAGTCTTGGCTGATTTCGGGTTTGAGCTTTAGTTGTTGAATTTTTAGTTGGTGCCAGCTCATTAATATCTAATAGAAGTGTAGCTCATTATGAGCTGATGTTTAGTTATAAAAAAAAAAGTGAATGATATGCTATTTTTGTAAAAGCTATAACCTACGGGTTTGCTTTGGAAATCCTGCGGGCTCTTTCCACCCTTCTTTCTCATCCCCTTCGGAAATCCTGCGGGCTCTTTCCAACCTTTCTTCTCGGGCTTCTAACATCTTTCTTCTCTCCGCAAGTGCCACCCCACCTGTATCCTTCTTCTCTTGGAAAGAAACTTTAGGTGTCATTTGTAAGAGTCATTTGTAAGAGTCAAGGGTTGTAATGTCATCTTATGTTGAAAGTCAAGTTTGTAAGTCTTTCTTTATTTTATAATATTAATGTTTGTTTTGTCTAATTTGTCTAGTTCTTGTGAGTTCTTGTAATCTTTTATTCTCTAGAAAGAGCTTCTTTTTGTGATCAAAAATTTGGGTCCCTCTCCCAAATTTTTGATTGCATCAAATC